TCTGTTGGCTCCGTGTTCGTATTTTATCATCGCCGCCAGGGACGTCTTTTTGTTACTGTTGCCATTTTGGTATTTGAACCATCACACCTGTACTATACCAATTACGGTAATATTACGTTGCGTGTGACAGTCAGGATTGATCGGTAAGAAATAGTTCCTTTTGCACCTAACCCCATCCCTAACATTAACCCTACCATTCCAGCGCCCCCAATTTAATTAAATTTGCCTCTCCTAAGGAAACCTATAGATATCTATGAATTGGGGGATTTGGGTGGGGGTTAGAATAAAGATTAGGTGTGCAGTGCAAAGAAACTCTTTCTTCGGTGTAAAACACCGTCCCACAAGGATTCGTTTACTGGGTCATTTCCTTTTGTTTGGCAAAACACCCAATGCGAATTGGCCCTTGCAGTCATGTAGGCCTCTACGGGTTGAATCCACGCGGAGGTTTAATCGAACTAAATAACGAAGAGTGCGACTTGCGCCCACTTGTCGCATATGCAGACGATTCTACGAACACAAATGGAGGTTTTACAATTACGAGAATATATTTCAGCCATCGGTGCGGTCTTTTAAATTAATAGTTGTAGATCCGAAGCTGAGACAATGACGGCAGCCATGGGTGCGACGCTTTTACTAAAAACACTATATCTACTCTGATTACATGATGTCCACAGTTGATAACCAACTTTACTCAACAAAAATAGCCTCATATTCATAGTGATTACACTTTATTCAAAAGGCAAAACATCGTGCTGCGCCCGCAACATACATCTTGAAGTCACAGTAAGTTATACAGTCACAGTATCGCGGTATCGAGTGAATAATTTGAGAACTAATAATATCTCATAAGCTTCTTCAACTAAAATATTCTTGTTATCTTTAGACACGTTTAGTAGAACATTTTCTAGTCCGCTAAGTTGACAACTATGTTTGTTTGTCTTAGAAATATCGTGAAGTAAGTTTTGTAACCGGTAACACAAAAATGAACACAACCGATGAATCTAACTCGCCCGATAAGGTGAAGTGACTCAGAGAAAAACTTACCCAATAAAGAGTCGTCACTTAGAGCAAGCCACATCTCATCTGACACCTTTGTAGATACCTTGTCCTCTGTGAATCGAAGGTGAAAATGATAACAATGTAACGGGTAACAAATTAACATTGAGTGATGGTCATTTCATAAAACTGCATTATAGCAAATACCTATCACGAAGTCTTCACCACGGATTACTTCAGAAAACGCATAATCGTCTGTAACGTAAAACTCTTTATTAGCGCCCTCATTGGCCGTTGCAATATATCCTTCCCCGTCTATTGCAAAATATTGGATGATATCAGGCTGATATATTCCATAAATTGGCCAGTAGTGCAGGTTAATGCCTGCAAATGAGGGAATAAATTAGTAGTAACCATGAAATAGTATTCCCCCATATGCGTTGGTCTTATTTATTTTTTCTCTACTACGTTTGATCGTACATCAAAAATCAACTCATCTGTTTTGCAATATTATACGTTTTATAATAGACGAATAACTTCATTTTTTAAAGTAAACAAAGTGTATCGTGTCAGTTGTGGCCGTGGTATATGATGAGAAATAATGTTATTATATATATTTGACACTGAACGACCTGCGCTTATCACATGTAAAGCGCTCACATGTACTTTGCTTATTGTCACCTTCTGTATGCGTCACACGTTAATATGATAAGCAGGGCAAAGTGAAGTTCATTCTATCACCCTGTGAGAATTCTATTTCAAAAACACGCGCACGCGGCGTGTGCCACATGACCCAACCAGGCTTGCGTGTGTAGTGTTATCCAAATAAAATAAGTAGGTTATATATATAGCTTTGAAATCGTGCGTCATCGGCGATGCTGATAATTAAATTATGACTATAAACAAAACATAGCATCCATCTTACCTCCATCTTCATCGCTGGCATCCATTACAGATGTATTCCAATTATTTATACCCCAGAGCAAAAAGTTCTTTGAATTTACCATGTTTAATATCTAGAACAGCAACTGCGTTGTTCTCCTGCAATTATATTATTTTTGTTTTTGTTTCAAGTGTGTAGGCATCTACATACAGTAGGTAGCTGTAATAATACACGATCTGAGTTACCTGTAGTACGACGTAGGCCGTCTTTTCGTCTTCAGATATAGTCAATGATTCCGGTTCCAGGTCCTGGGAGAATGTGGTCATCTGTCCACTTCCCTCGCCATGATATATCCATCGCACACCATTGGCAACATACTCGTCAGCCCTATAAACACAATTCAAATTGTTACATCTGTTGGTTTGTTGGACCCGAATTTGGAAACACAGTTGCGTCTAATTTAATTGTTTTGTTTGCAATTTATGCAAAACACCAAAATATTCACTGTTTTGATTAGATTTGTTGATGACAATGTAGTAGAAAATAGGACAAAAGTGGCCAGGTTCATTTACTTTAGCCGAAAACAAGTCCATTTTATAAAATAACCACAACAAAGAACGCATTTTTGATAAACTGTTATGTCTTGTATGTTATTTCCATAGCCATTAACTAATCAATAAGGCAATTAATGAATAATGTCAAGCTTATGTTAGCCTGGAATCCAGTCATTCGGAATCCCCTTTCAAGTGCACTCAAGAATTCCCTAGTGAATCGCTACGTAACGCACAGATATATGTGTCATCATTGATTGGATGTTTCCTAACTTCAGCACATTGCCATGGAAACTTACACCCTCAGACTGACCCGTACGCAAGACCCGCCCATAGCCTTCTAACCAATTCACTAGTCTATTATTCGTGAAATTTTCAAAATTATCGTAAAACCACATCCGCGAAACCCGTCCAAATATTGAGCCAGGAATAACTTACTTGTCATTAAATACATTAAGCCAAGCTGTATCCTGGTTGATAATTAACGGATCTACACTTAAGTCACCACTGCTTAATTTTATGATGGAAACACTGCCCTCAGGGTCATGAAAATTGCCATATTCGTCGATTCCGGCTTCTCCCTCGTTCGCCACTAAAATTGTTTTACCGTCAGCGGTACATTGAAGATTGTCCGGATTAGGACCAACTTAAACGGAAATAAAACAGTATTTACAACACCAATACATTAGAAGATTTGATATTATTATGTTATTTTTCTAATATGTTATATAAATTTGGTTTTAAAATATGTAGCAGTTTTCATCTGACACTCAAGAAATGTGTGTATGTATCGCATCAGCATTTCTTAATGCATATTCGCATGAATTATGATCCAATATAATATATCCATTGTATATCAGTGTAGGTTTATACTCACCCGGTAGCATATACATCAATTTCATATTCCCTCTGAGCGGATTATACAAACTATAGAGGAGCAATTTACCGTTACCCGGTACAAAGTCGTCCGGCATTGTTATGGCAACGTAACTACCACATACTTCTACATCCGTCATCACGTTAGTTTGTATGGTAGTGTGAACTAATTTCAGGTTCATCGGGTCGCTGGCGTCGACGACGTGAATCAAGCCAGTTTCCCCTAAATTACAAACAAAATAGTATTGTTCAAAACAACATTTAATGATGTGTGTCACTTATTGTACTTTCCATACGTGTAACAGTTAGAACAGATTGAACTATGATGAATACAATGAATTTGTTAGTACTGAATTATGACCCACCTATGACGTATATAATGTTGTAAAGATCATCGAAGGCGCTTTGTTCAGCTGCTCCCCTGCCCATCTCAAACATCGGTTCACCGTTATCGTCGAATCCATATGGGAGATAAATTGTTCCCAGTGACGAAAGCCTGATTATACATTCGGCTAGGGGTTTGGGTTGCAGCAGCACGACTGTAGCAAGAACCAACAGTATTCTCATCTTGGAATCCAGCAAAAAAAATCAATAAAAAGTGTGACTTCAAGTATTTCTTGTATTGCATCGGAAACATGAAATCATATATCTTACCCACAGCGTTCTGTATTGATTTAATATATGTTCTTACCAAGAGACTGATAAACTGAAATTTTATTTAATTAAATGTTAAATAAGTGGGACATTTTACAAACAATTCGATAAACGTAAAGTTTAATTAATTGAACGTGATGATAATTTTGATGGTCATATACAATATGTGTTAAACGTGAATTGCTTTGCAGTATTTAGCATATGCGCTGTCATCAAATTGTATTTAAACGTAGTTAGAGTTAGTTCAGTACTGAGAAATGCCTTTCCATGCGTATAGTTAATTACAGTTGGTATCTCAATACCAAGCCCATATAGTGGGGGGGGGTGGTGTTCGAAAACCGTCACTTAAGTACAGGCACAACCAGTTAAGTAAAAAGTGCAACGGCGTTTATTACGTGCATAAGACAAAATAATGAAAATCATTATTAATATGGAGGAAATGGCCTACAGATAATGGCAAGAAAACTCAAACCTAATTACGATTGGATAGTTAAAGTCATTGTTGATTGGTGTATTCGACGACCTACCGAATAGAAAAATTCATAAGACGCAGTTTTAGTTTCTAATAGTTCATAGATTATTTAGAATGGCAATCCCAAAGATGTCGGCATATGTTATCAAAAATGTCAATGTTCGAATATGATGAGTCATTGCAACGTGATTGGCTAGCGCAACTTTAATTTAGAGGGCGGTGTTTATAGCTGAATCTTCTAAAATGTGTAAAGATATATAGTTTTGCTGAATAAATATTACGGTATCCGTCAGCCACCACCCTGCTCGCAGACGACATTACACTGAAACTATCGTGTAATATATAGTTATTGAAATGAACGAGTTATATCGAAGAGAAATAATCCCAGAAATAGGGTCATGAAAATCAGATCTCGAGTGTCGTAGATGACAAAAGAAATGACATTTCACCATCATATCTGTGTCAAGTAGGTGGAAGTATTTCACCAACGATATGTCACCAAATTCTCTTCAACATAAGTTTGTCACAATTGTCGTGGTTGTATACACCTTCATTGCAGTATAATGTTTACCAAAGGGATAGTGACATAATATATTGTAATGTATTGCTTGAGGTTACTATGGCATCTGTGTGAATTTGAAGTATGACCATCCGATTATTAGAAAAAAACGACACTTGTGTCAGTACGATGGTATTGAGAATTTAGTAGTATCAATTAGTGTTTTAACTTTGAATGGAAGATTCGAACTGACACTCACACACTTGATTATCGTTGATATTTGCGACAGCCATGGCGTCAAGTTGGGAAAAGTCGTGTTAATATCATTTTTAGTTAGACACGCGAAGAATCACCAACAACTAATACTGTAATTATTACAGTAATAAATGCCATTTTATTAGTTGTTTATATTTAGAGGCGTAATCAATAAATAGAATGCTTAGCGTGTATAACTGTAGACTGGCAAAGTCGGAACTTATAATTAATTGTCAATTTAGTCTTTTTAACATGATCGCGAAAACTATCTTGACTGCGAAAGAAATCCCGACTGGACGCATCTGCAGACGAACCCCTGCGTTGGAGTGAAAACCGGAGCGGAATCACTCCGGTGGTTATGCTAGTTCAAAGTTGTTGGCTAGCATTGACAACGAATCAGAATGTAGCTGTGTACGTCATATCTTATCTATGTTAATGGTTAATGTACGTGACCTTTCACATCTGAAGTCCCGGCGATTCTGAAAGACTACTTATATACATTGGATATTTAAATCGAGTTGTTTTCAGAAAATATGGATGAAAGTATGGCCTTGCACACTTAGAAAGTTGAAGTATCCATCTCTGCGATGGAATCGAATCAACCTTTAAAAGGTCATGTTTACTTTCACACACCAACTCATGAATAATCATTGCACCCTGAATAATTAATAGCGTGAGGCGACTGTACCTGACAATATAAGGTATAACTGAATTTATGTGGTGCGTGAATTTATTGTGCAAAAAACGAACGACTCGATTCCACCATGCTCTAATAATCTTAATAACATTTAGATGGGGAAGAAATTGACAATGATCAGTAAATAAAAGATTTACGACAAGACAGACGAGGATGGGACTAATTATCCAGCAATTCTTAATACTGACGAATTCCGCTGAATTTATTTGCGAAGTAAACGCGTGATCAACAGTAGAACGACAATATATATAACAACACCAAGTCACGCAATCGAAGGCAAAAAAATTTCTTCTACAAAAGAAAACGTTACGCAGAGAGGGCCAGCCAAATATTCAGCACTACCGAAAACAATGAGATGTGGGCATTTATTCCATCACATAAAAAGAATAAATAACGAACAAAAAACTTTCGAATACTCACGAAAATATGTGACACCGGAAAGTATGACATTGAAAGCTAAGGCAAAATGCAGAAAACCCAAACTTTTAGTTGCGACAATTTTCTCATGAAATTCATCAACAACGTCAAATTTAAGATATAGGAAGGGAATGTAAACACATATATAATTGATTTGGATTTGAACAAGAGTTTAGAACTGATACGCGAGTAAACAATCGCAAACATGTCAAGTTGACGAAAGCTGTGTTGATACATTTTACGACTAGGTACGCGAAAACTCACAAGTGCAATAATTGACTTTGATAAACATAAGTTTATAAGAGTTGTAATTGATGTGGAGTTTAGAGAAGCTAAGATAATGACTACCTCATCGCTGGGTTCATATTTAGAGGCGTAATCACTACGTAGAATCCCTATCGTGTATAAATGCAACTTGTATCGTTGTCTAACTGGAATAGAGGGAGAGTCGTAGAGTTGCACGATTCTAATTTCTCTATAAAATAATAATTATAATAATGACGCATAGATGGAGAACAGAGCGACTGTTTGTCACCTACAATGTAACAAACCGAAATTACGCATTTGAAATATATATCAACTATAACCATCTAGTCGTCTGTCAGCAATTACTTACAATCTTATATATAACGACAAGATATAGAATATATGTATATACTAGTATAGTGGTTTGGACATTTATTGGCAAAACTTACCTCGCTGTAGTCGTTCTTCGTTTTCAAGATAGCAATATTGCCTTAGCAGAATTTACATCTATTTATACTATACGGTGTGAATGATATAGTTTACACCATCTGTTCTAGACTAACGTCACATTCAGTCGTTATTTGATGTTTGTTCATCGATGCAAATAGATAAACTTCTAGATAAACCAAATTCAAATCTACCTACTGAATTGAATATTTGGTCCACCAGACAGTGTCGAATAGCAAATCATAATATATGTGCTAGAACATTGTATTTCATATAATGAAGTTAATTGTTATTGTTTCTGAAGCAAAAATTGTGTGTTATTTTCACGTTCGCACCGTACATTGATCGCTATAGGATAACGCATTGATCGCATCTGGGTCGCACATTTATCTTCATCGTATCGCCTATTGATCTTTCTGGTTGCGCATTTTTTTGCCTTTCCATCATGGTTGAATCGCATATTTGCATCACAAAATGTAGCAAACATAGTATGAGGTTATTACGAGGATACCTCAAAATATGTACGATGACAGTACAGCGGCAGCATCGACCGACGCGCAGCGACGGTGCATACTTATGTATGTCATACTTCTGTGTATGTCTGAGTGAATACTTTGATGTATCCTCGTAATAACCTTATTATTATACATCTTTTACTTCCAAGGATACAACATTGGAATGCCTGAATCCAAAATGTTTAGAACAGAATCAGCGAACTTCTTTGTGTGGAGTCCAGTCAAACCCTGGTGGAAGCCATGTTTGTTTTTATTATTAGAGGACGATTACGCGTGTACTCATCATTCCATATTTGGAATTCGCATTTTCTAATATGGTAAAATTAAAATACCCCGTAATATACCGCTAAATTACGGCACGCTGTAACTTAGGGCGTTACGGAGACAGATGTATAATAATGGTATTTATGAACGGACTCGTAATGTAGCTCTTCATTCTATGGCTTTGTTTGGGAGCACCACTTTAGTTATGGGTTAATATATACATAAAATATTGCATTCATTTATTTTGGTCTGTGTACCGACGCTTATCCAGACACCTATCTAGTATACAATCGTTATCTTTACAAACATGCGAGAGATGAACATCTACTGTGATGTAAATCCGTTGAAATCGCCATTTATATCGCGCGTAGACCCATTTATTTTTATACCTTTGGTATATAATATTCAATAAATGAAACAGCTACGATAAACCTAAATAAATCCGCGTTGCAAATAATCGAACGTAGAGTCGGTTGTGACTGAGTTTCCAGCATCTTAGATTATCAAGTCGGAATTCGATGATCGACTATGTTACACAATGATTGGCCGATGTGAAGTGCTTTCTGTTGACATTTCATTGAGTTGTACACCTAGACTATTGAGTTGTTTCTTGCATAGCCATTAAGTCCCGCCCTTTATATGACGACAATTTTACTGCAACAGAGCGGGCGCCAGTTTAATTATTAGAAAACATTTTCTGAGTGAGTGGTTATGCAAATTATCTATTATCTACACTTATGTTTTTCAGTTTGCCAGGGAAGTTCAAATCTAAATAGCTTGTTGTTTATTTCAAGTGAAACTTTCACATTATGTTTGTCAGTTTGTTTTCATAATACAATGTAGTCCAGCAGGATGTTTGCCGTATATTCAATCGCGTCAGTATTTCACACTTTGGTTGTCATTGTCCAGACGTCCTTTTGCTCGTAAAGACGTGGTCGAAATAGTGTGAAAATTTCAAGTCAAGCTGTCGAAAAGTGTGAAAGCTAATAAGTTTCAATCTCTCTAACCAACCAGAAAATACGAACGGAGATAATGCTCATTTTATGAAAGTGACGTTTATCGTCCACAAAAATAGCTATCACATCACGACTGGATGCCAAA